CACGGTAACCTCCGTCTCCAAGGGTAAAGTGATTCTTGTGCCTCAGCCTCCCAAGTAGCTGGGACTACAGGCATGCACCACCAAGCCCGGCTAATTTTTGTATTTTTTGTAGAGCTGGAGTTTCGCCATGTTGGCCAGGCTGGTCTCGAACTCCTGGCTTCAAGTGATCCTCCCACCTTGGCCTTCCAAAGTGCTGGGATTACAGGCATGGGCCACCAAGCCTGGCAAAGATCCCAATTTTTAAAAATCAGCCAAAGATTTAAACAAAGATTTCACCAAAGAAAAGATGGCAGATAAATAATTTTTTTAAATGTTCAATATAATTAGTCATTAGAGAAATGCAAATTAAAACTGTGATGACATACTATTACATGCTTTTTATAATAGAATCGCTAAAACAAAATGGAAAAAACAACTCTACCAAGTGTTGTAGAGGATTAGGAGCAGCTAGAACATTCATACATTGTATGAATGTAAGATGGTACAGCCACTTTGGAAAACAGTTTGGTGATTTCTTATCCAGTTCAACATACACCTGCCATGTGACGCAGTGATCCCACTCCTGTTTACCAAGAGAAATGGAAACATATATCTTCCAAAGACTTATATGTGCACGTGTCTAGGAACTATATTCATAATAGCCTAAAACTGAAAACAACTTAAAAGTCCACTAACTAGCAAATGGATTTTCAAACTGGTTAAACAAACTGGAATTTCAACGCACAGCTACTCAACAATAAGAAAGGAACAAACTTCCAATATATGCAAAAACATGGATGCATCTTCTGGATGCAAAATATGACATTCTGGAAGAGGCAAAACTGCAGGGATAGAAGTTAGATCAGTGGTTACCAGGGGCCGGGAGGGAGTCATTTTTCTATAAACGGACACAAGGGAATATGTAAGGATGATGGAAGTGTTCTATATATTTCTATTCCGGTGGTGATTACATTGCTGTGTATGTTTGTTAGGGCTCATCAAACTGTAGACTTATGAAATTTATTGTATATAAATTATACCTCAATAAATCTGACTTTAAAATGATAATAAGGACAAGAGTTAGCATTATGCCTGCGGGAATGAAGTGACTTGTTGCATGCTGGTTCCCGCAGTTGTCTGGATTTCCCCCTCCCTTCTTCCTGCCCCACCACAGAAGAATGGCAGTCCTCCTGCACTTTCTGGTGAGACTCAGGTGATGGGACAAGCACTAAGCTAGAGACCACTCAGGAGGGTGGGAGGTCTAGGTACTAGTTCCAGTTCAGCTTCTGATGTTAACTGGGGCAAGTCACTGAGTCACCCTCAACCTCACTGCAAAATGAGGATTTTTCACTTCCTTCCAGGCCTATGAGTCTAACTTGTAGTCTGAAAAGGAATGAAGGCTATCCAACACGTTGTGTTTCCACACCGTGAAGGTCTGGGGAAAGGACAGGGCCCTAAACCCTCCCATTCTTCGGTGACCCCTTTTTCTACCTTCAGGTACTCTAGTGGGCCCTCTGGCCCTCACAAGCCTTAATCCTCAGGAGTTCAACAAGAGAAGCAAGTGGTTCATCATCATACCATAAGGCCACACCCTGTGATTCGTATAAATGAGGCCAGTAGACAGTAGCTTCCAAAACTTTTTCAGTATCATAAGCGTTCTGTTGTGTTAGGAGGCATGGGCATATCCCATTTACAAATGTTTAAGAGCAACACAGGATCCCCACACAAAACAGCAGCCTCCACCTAGCCTCCAGTATCAGACCCACGGGAGCTCCACTCTTCAACCTCCAGGAAGACACCCTACAAGACATGCTACACACCTCTGCAAACACAGTGTTCTGGACTCAGTTTCTGGTCCTGAATATCAGAGCTGAAATTTCCATTCCACCGCTTACTAGTTGTGTGACCTTGAGTCAGATATTTAACCTCTCTAAACCGCAATTTCTCCTTCAGAAAAAAAAGGGATAATAATAGTCCCCATCTCCCAGGGCTATTGGGTTGATTAAATAAATCACTATGCATCCAGTTTTTAGAACAGTGTAGCAAGCACTTAGTGTTCGTTATTATGATTTAATTTAACTTAATTTGAAAACTGTCATTTCTTGTAAGTCTTGGCAAATGTAGAGGTTTCTTTATTAATGTTCAGTGTCAAAAGATGAGCTATCTTGGGGTGAAGAGAAAGGTTGCTTGTGTTGAACCCAAACTAGACTCAGACTTGAAGCTGCTACTCGGTTTTTTCTCACCAGAGGTAGGTGGGGATGGGGAATTTGCAGGTTGATTTTGAATCCAAGACTTCTCCAACAATGCTGTACTTATCAAAAGTAGACTTAGGAGTATGAGAAGACAGGGAGGGTCATCCAAATAAAACAGAAGCGCTCCAGTATGCCTGCACAGTGGCCACGATACCTTCAAAGTACTATATATGAACCAATTTCTGTTGAGGAAACAAGGTACAAAGAAACTCCCATATGGATACTAGCAGGATTTGCTGGTGTCTGGGGAAAATTATAAATCAGCTGGTTGCTGCTCACATCAGAGCCAAGCAGGGCACATTCAGTTTTTTAATCTGGACCAATTTTCCGGATCAAAAACTAGTCTTTCCAAGGGATGTAAATGCAGGAGGGAAATTTCCCCTGAAGTTTATGAAGTAGCCGTCATTTTAATCTGAGAAGTTTTCCAACCTGAAAGCCAGTGTCTGGATAAAATTATAAAGTAATAAAAATAAAACTCTTCTAGGTTGAACCTAAACACTTCTATCTCAAATTTTATGTAATTAATGCGCCAAAGTATTTAAGAGGTGGTGTTTCCACTATCAAAACCCTATCTATGCTTCAGATAAAACCAAAGAGGTCAGCATGGCATATACCTGATATGAATATCAGAATGAGACCCTGAATGAATCAGGTATAAAATCTTTTTAGGAGAAGAACTACAAAAAATAAGAAAGAAAATATGGTGACCCATATGAGCAGTTTTATACTACAGGTTTTTATAAAATACTTCTTAAAAATTCCCGTTAAATGGATTAAAATACATCCTTAAAAAAGCATTGCATACAATGTTCATGCTTTAAAACTATAGATATAACTACGCTTTGTTTAAAAATTGTGACAATTAATGGGTTATTTCATGTGAATAAATCTGCAAAATGCAATTGATCGTGATGTGGTTATCTTAAGGAGGAAAGTTAGAAAGAAACCCTTCACTGAAATCCTTGAAGGTGTGTGTATGTGTGCATGCAGGAAGAGAAACAGTTTAATGTGATATTACCTTGGACTGAAGCTATTATCTCCAAAATGAATTGAAGAGCTCATCAGTGGAATGGCTCATAATTTAAATATGGTGTAGATTATGATAACGACCTTAGATTTCAAGGGAGGTAACAAGTGCTGGTAAAAAGAGATACAGCGCAAAGACTGAGAGTGTTTCCAGAGCCGAAATGCAACAAGTCATATTTCCAGATAGAGAGTTCCAATGTGAAAATATTTAAGCATCCACATGGGATCCCGCTAAGACGATTTTCTTTGCCCTCTGATAAATTTTCCTAGCTTTGTCTCTTTCTTACAGAAACGTTTGTGAAGACAAACTGCACTTTCTGTGAGGTTTTGCAGACTGCATTCAAATAAAAGTTACATTGTTTTCCATTGTTCATAAGATATAATTAATCCCATAAGACAACCTCCCTTACAAAGTAAGCTAAGACAAAACAGATTTTTCAGAATTCTAAATATGGTCCCAGCAGAAAATAATAAAAATCGTTATTTGGGAAACAATGTTTAGAACTTCATTGTTTAGAATGTTCTACTTTGAATAATCTCACAACATAGGCCAAATCAAAGTAGACCAAAATAAACGAAGACTTTTTACCTATATGAAGCTAGAGGAAATACACGTTATGGTTTCAAGTTCTCCCCCAATCCTCAATCCCTTATAACAAGCTGCAACGCACATATCTTTGTTTAAATAGCAGAGCAAAGACAGGAGTTCAAAACACGGTAAAATTAACCCACTGGGTGCTTCCTTCTGAACAAACGGCCCCAGAGTGGAAGAGGATGCTAAGAGCAGAGTCCACATCCCTGCACAGTGCGTGGGCAGGACCGGAGATGGGCAGAGGGGGCTCCAGGCAGCCCTTAAGACACTTAACAGGAAATGGCTGAGCTCTGGACACTATGAATTCAGTAAGATGTTTGGAGACGCAGGAGGGGCCGGTTTGACTCCTCTGCACCGTTGCCATCCTCTGTAATTGAGACAGCACGATCGCTGTCCCAACTCTCAGCTCTCTGCGGTCAAACACAGTAGAGAGGTGGGGACCACCACCTCTACTGTGTCTGGAAAACTGATAATTCTTTTAACAAATAAATATCCCTAGGGCCGCCCGGGGGCGGGGGAGGGCGAGGTTCGCGTCTTTTCTCAGCTCCTGGCAGAGCTGAAGCGAGTTAAGCCGACGCTGGTCGGGAAGAAGGAGGCGGTGCGCTGCCGGCTCTGTGTCCTCGCCCGGGAGCCCAGCAGGGGCGCTCCGGGCGTGGTGGCTCCGGGCGGAGGAGCGCATTACCTGGTTTTCGGATGGCCGCTCGGAGCGACACCGCGCCGGGTCCGAGGCTGGAAGCCAGGAGCAGGAGCCGGAGCAAGACGCCTAGGATTAAATCCATTTTGCCGCCGGCGCCTGCAAAGTTTCACCAAGTCCCGGGCGCACAGGGAAAGGGCGTCTCCGGGGGCGCGTTGGGGACGCAGCCCCCGCGGATCCCCGGGCCAGCGCGAGGAGGTGGGGGGTTTCGGGGTCTGGGCCCGGAACCACCGGGCAGTTACAAGAGGCAGGACTGCAGCCGGGAGGTCGGCGTGCGGGAGTGAAGCCTGCTGCAAGCTGCAGGGCTTTTCGCGGGGGCGGGGGCGACGAAGGAGGCGGACGGGGAGGGAAGGGCTGGCCGCGGGAAGGAGGGAGGCTCGACCCGCCCGGGGATGAAATTACAATCGAGTGGAATTGAGAGGGGCAGTCCCTGAAACGTTCACTCCTCGCCCACCTCGGAAGCAGACAGACCGCCCCTCACCCTCTCTAGCGACCCCCAGCGTAGCCGTTCCTGGCTGGTGACCTAGATTGGGGGCCTGGGAGGGACCGACTTCAAGCACTGGAGACGCAAGGCAGGAGTTAGGCGACTACGGGTCGAGGACCCTCCGCGGTCCTCACCCTGAAATCTTGGGACGCCCCCCCACTCCACCCGGGCCCTCCTCCTGCCGCGCCCCTCTAGGTCGCCTCCACCCAGCCTGGTGACTTTTTCTAACACCTCAAAGGTTGCTATAGTTCGTCCAGAGCACTTGGAGGAGCGAGGGGTAGACGAGGGTCTGTGATTTGCAAGTGGAGTTGGGGGTGAGAGGAAGAGGGGCGGGGCCGGCCGGGTCTGAGGCGCTAAGAAGATAAATGGGATTTAAGGCGCGCAGATGGAGAGCTGAGGCCAGGCGGCTCAGACGCGGACGCCGGGTGGAGATTAAGGCCCGGAGCGGGGGAGTGGGAGCCCTTACCGGCAGATGAAGGCAACTTGAGACCCTCCTGGGGAGGAGATGAAACTCCAAGTTAAGCCTAGCTTCTCAGGGAGGGACGCGAGCTCGAGTCCTCCGGCGTACTGAGAAGAGCACCCGACGGCGCCCAGATGGGGCTGGGGCTGGGGGCCAGAGCGGGGTCCTGGCCTCTGATCCCGGGATCGGGCTTCCTGGGTTGTCTCCCTGAGAGGAGAAAGACTCTTTCTCTTCCGCTGAATTTGCTGCCCCAGGACTCAGTAAAATGTACCGTTTGCCAGATTTTGCGGTAGTGCCCGGAGAGGGGAAACCTTGGGACCCACGTCCCATTGCATACTGGCGTTCTGACCTCCAAACCAGCGAGAAGAGAAAACAGATACAATAAATAAACCAAGAGGGAATAAACTTAGAGGCAAATGCGGCCCTCTCCAGTTCCTGGGGAAAGATCAAAGGCCCTAGGAAGTGCCCCGCAGAGGAAATCTGCAGTCACCAGCGAGAGGACCGCGCCCGCCCCCGCCCCACCTTGCAGCGCTGCCAGGACTCGGTGAGCGTCCTGGTTCTTCACAGTTAGCCTATGTTTGGGAGCGCCGGAGGAAACAATGCTGACTGATATATTCTTCTCCCCTCCCCAGCCCCCCAAACACACACACAGGATTTCTACTCCTCTTTTAAGAATGAAATATCCCCTGGCTGGAGAGTTTGTAATGAGCTCAATCTTGTCAGTTAACAAAGCTGAGTATGTTCCCTTATGTGTTGGCATTTTCAAGTGTGCAACTGTCTGTTCCAAATGAATTCAAAGTCCCCTCCAACTTGAGTATTTGGAAGTCTTAGCTGTGACACCAGAGCTTGTCCTCTTACACAGAACTGGAGCAAAAGTTCAAACAGGACTATGCTCTTCACTTCCAAGGTGACCATAAAGCCGGTCGCTAAGCTAAGCAAAGTGACTGCCTCCGAAGCTGCTAGTTTCTAAGGTACCAAAATCATAGACCTTTTAGCATTACCAGGAGCCCTAAAGGTCATCTAGGCCCTGCCTCCTCTCCACACAGGATCTGCTTTCAGCATTGGTGGTGGGTGGCGCCACCTCCCTTTGAACTCCACCTGTGTCAGAGAGCTCCTCCAGCCTCCAGCGCCAGCTGGGAAGTTGTTGGAGGCCTTTCTTTAGGCAAAAGTGTTTTCTTATCTCAGACTTAATGTGGCACCCAGAACCAAGCGAGTGTTGCAATGCAGATGCCTCCCATGCAGGCTTTCCTACTTAAAAATGATTCTCTGTGATGCAGAAACTGGAAGTAATAATAATCATTGATATTATGCCTACCATTTATTTAACGTCTTCTATGTACCAAACCCTCTTTGAAGTGCATTTTATCCCAATAACAACCATACCAGGAAGATACTGTTATTACTATTCTCGCCTTTTACAGATGAGGAAGCTGAAGCAGGGAAAGATTAAGAAACTTGCCCAACGTCATGCAGCTCCCATGCAGTGGAGTCTGGTTCCAGCCTTCAGGCTTTTAAGAGGACAATGTGGAAAGTAAACACAGCAGTGGACCAAGAGGATCAGGAGATGTGAGTGTTTAATCCTAGGCTCTGCGTATAGTGTGCCTTGGTAAAAATGAATGGGCTGGATGAAACAATCAGTAAATTCCAGGTTTTGCTTTCTCTTTATTAGCTGATAAAACAGCACCATCTAATCTAAGCTACGTTTGATCCGAATGTGCCTTTTAAAAGACCTGTGCAAATTGTCCATTGCAAATTTCGCAAGCCTGGGCTTCAGCCTTCTTGCCGATGTCCTCCACATGTGCCCACACCACCTTGGCATCCCTGGCCCTGTGCCTCCCTTCCATTTTTTGCAGATGGCCATAAGTGACTTGGGAAACAGGCTTGGTTTCTTCAGAGGCCCCTCTTGTTTCTTCCTTGGGGGCATTACTTTAGATTATATTGTTGTACTTTACCTCTGAGGGCCTGCACACACTCTGGATTATCAGGCTATTGAGATAAGACCTTATTTCACAAAATCCGCTTCAAATCTAGGGCACATGTTGCATCAAACTTACTCGCTTCCTTTGCAGTTCAAATCGCATCCTCCAAGATTCCCTCTCCTTCCAGTTTGATAACCAACTATGGCATTTTTAAATGTGACTAAAGACAAATAGAACACTTGCCTTTCACTCTCTTCCTGCTTTCTGAGAGGAGGGAAACTAAAGAGGGGCCAAGAGGCTTTGAATGTTTCAAAAAAAAAAAAAAAATGTGTTCAAATTCACTGGAGGTCTAAACTCAATTAATAAGGTCACCAGCAGAAGAGTGACCTGCCTACTTTGCTCATTATCATGGAAGAGGAATCTGACCTTTCCTGCATGGAATAGATTTGGAGGCTGGTAGAAGAAAGTAAAGGCAAACTTATCAATTATAGAATGTTTATTAAGACTCTAAGTGAAAGTGACAAAGAGGCAGCAGCCAAGAATCATTTTTTGATTTATTTTTCTAAATTGGTTATAGGTACATGTAAAATTTGAAATGTGGATCAGGCAGAGTGTATAGTGAAAAGTAAGTTTCCTTTTCTTCCTTCTACCATCACCAGTTTCTTGGATATCCTTCTAGAGATGGTCTATGAATGGACAAGCTAATTATATACACATGTATTTAACACAACCAAGAGCATCTTCTACACACTTCTTAACCGGATGATCCTTCCAAATCAGCAGATACAGATCTGCCTCCTTACTAACTGCTGAATATTCTACTGTGTGATGTGTAATTTATTTGTTCTTTCTTCTGTTGTTTCCAATTATTATAAACAGCATGGCATGAATGACGCTGAATGTGTAATAGGTTGCACATGTTATAATAGACTGTAGCGTTCATTTCTAGACTAACCATGCTCGGTCAAGGAGTAAATGCCTTTTCAATTTTGATAATTTGCCTAAATTTCCTCCCAAGGAGGTTGTACTAATTTACACCCCAATAAGCAGAATATGTGCCTAATTCCATGAACTCTCACCAACATAGTGTCTTATCAAACTAGAAACATAAATATACATATATTTATATGTTACATTTTAATCAACATACAACATACAAAAGTATCAAATAATAAGTGTACCACTTGATGAATTATAGCAAAGTGAGCACACTTGTATAACTTTTATTAACTACTGCCCAGATCAAGGAATAGGATATGACCAGCACCCCCACAAAACCCTCCTCATGCTTCCTCTCCAGAAGTGTATATTTTTGAAGAAGGATGAGGGATGAGAATTCAAACCTCCCATTTACTTTTAAGTAAAACACACAAATAAAAGTAGATCAGTAAAAATAAGTAAACACTTTCCCTACTGCAATGTAAAACAAATATTGAGACTGAATCCCATTATGTGTAAGGCTCTGTGCTAAGAGCAGAAATAATATATTAGAGAAAATGTAGCAATGTTTTTTGCACTCAAGAAGACTACAAATTTGTTGGAAGATGAAGACAGTTGCACTGCCAATTATTCCATAAAGCAGAACAAAGGAAGCCCTAAATAAGAGTGCAAATAATGTGCTATTGGGTTGAGTGACAAAGACCCTGTATTACAAATGATAATATATATAATAATATACTGTATAATGCATAGCCATCTGCTATGCATTATGTCCTCCTTGCTTATACTTGATTATACTTAAGTATGTAATCAATGGACTGACAAAACAAACGTGTGTAATAAGCCCCCAGATCAAGACATAAAACAATACCAGTACCCCAAAAGCCTTTCATTCTTCCTACTAACCGTAACCTACCCCACAACCAAATAGGTAACAATTTTCCTGATTTCTAGCACCTAGATTATTTTGGCCTGGTTTTGAACTTTATATAGATGGAATCATGCAGTAATGTAATCATTTATGCCTCTTTTACTCAACATTATGTTTGAAAAAATTCATCCAAGTTGTGTAGTTATTCATGTTCATTGCTGTGTAGTATTCCATTATATAAATGTATCACAATTTGTTTATCCATTTTACTCCTGATAGACATTTGGATTGTTTCTAGTTTGGAACTACAACCAAAGATGTTGCTGTGAACAAAGATGTTGTTGTATGTGTCTTTGGCAGATGTATGTATGTGTATCTGCTGTGTATACCTGTGAGCAGAATTATTAGGTTATATGATAGGCATATGTTTAGGTTTGGAAGGTATTGTCAGACTTTTCCAAAGTGGCTATATTCATTTACACTCCCATCAAAGTATATGAGAGTTCTAGTCATTCAAAAATCATACCAACGCTTGATGTTGTTTGTCTTTTTCATTTTAGCCATTTTGGTGCATGTTAATAATACCACACGGTGGTTTTGACTTGTGTTTCCTTGAACACAAGTCAAGCACCTTGTCACTTCTTTATTGGTTATTGTATATCCTATTTCGTAAGGTGCCTATTCATTCTTTTGCCCATTTTTCTATTGGGTTGTCTACTTATTTCTTATTGATTTGTGGAAGTTCTTCATATATTCTGG